ATGTGACACACTAATGATCACTACAACTGTGACCCGATGGTGAAACCCAAACCACCTATACGCATTACCAGCCATGCGCACGAAAATATGCTTAGGTAAGTTTCAGGAGCCGATCCGGAGTGATTAAACCACTGGAGTTAAATATATTCATGTGAAAACCCACCGTACGTACTACGCGATATACTAAGTTAGTTACAAACCACCCTACGGTGTGCTTGATCGATTGAGTTGCTAAATAATTGTGAAATATTCACTTCTCCAATGCCGAAGGTCCCAGTTGTTACGTCTAGACAGGTACATTTCGGCAGCCATGGCAAGATTGCCGTTCGACCAACCGGAGGGCACAATTGCGGTGACTCAAAGAGCGGCAGTGACAAAAAATCTACCGGGGCAAAATACAGTGTAACCAATAGTGGGCCGTTATATACACCTAACCAACCATTCTGAAGAAAGAAAATAAAGTCGGCGAGGAATAGGTTTATTGTTGAAGCCCATAAGTTCGTTAGGTTTATGGGCACCCAAACAGAGATAAGAATGTTCCAGGAGCGTTGGGAGTAACGTACGAGTCGTGCTTGAATTCGTGTGTTCAAACAAACTTAGTCACTATGCGAGAAAATGCCTGACTCTCCTAGGCGCAAAGTAAGAATATGATTTTGAAATATTTTGCCCAAAAGACAATTGTATTGCGAAGTCTTTACGTTGCTACAAAGCCAGAGTCACCGAGCCAAGTGGAAAATGCTTGATCGCGACAGTTAGTTTCTTTGTCCACTGTATACGACATACACATACATTGTCGTGGGGAAAACAGCTGTACGCCGTACCTGTAGTCCATCCCAGGATGTTGAGCAACAGTGGACTTGTTTACAGGAAACGATGCTTTCCCCCGGTCAATCGATTTTGGTCTCACCCAACACTCGTTATCCCGAACTGTTTGACCGCCGTCCAAATGTGCCAACAGAGTTATCTCATAGTTCTATGCGCCAAACTCTTAATCAGCAACACAAACAAAGCTTGCATAATGATCGCGAGACTTGGTTGTTTCAGCGCGCTCCTCGGAGATGGAGACCGATGCGCCCTTCGGCAACTTCTGCAAGCTTTTCCGGTTCATTCGATTGGCTGGCCCAAGAAGGCCTGTTGTCAGCGAAATTATCTGTGAAGTGGATGGGACACGAACCACTAACCTGAAAAGACGCGTAGCGCGTTGGGCTGAACAGGTTCACTCCGAATTCAACCACTATCCATTGTCCTCTAGTATGCCAAGTACACCCAATTGCATGCCCTGGACCATTTCATCGGTTTTTCGTTGTGATGCAAGTCTCCCGGCTCGGAGCAACGCTCTCTAGAGATGTTCAAGTTTGGCTGTTCAAAGTTTGTCAAGCAGTTAACATCAATGTTTTCAAAGATATGGAATGAACAGAGGATTCCATCCACCTGGGGTGAGTCAATAATTGTCCCTACAGTTAAGAAAGGTGCACGCATATTATGTGCTAATCACAGGGGCATCAGTCACATGCCGGTTGCTTCCATACTGTTGGCATCCACTTTGCTCCGTAGATTATCCCCGATTCGTGAGTTGTTTTACCGAGAAGAACAAGCTGGCTTTCGCTCCTGTCGAGGAAGCGTGGACCAAATCTTTACGCTACGCCAAATTCTTGAGCACCGCCACCTCTACCACAAGCCAACCATTGTCGCCTTCCTGGATATTCGAAGTGCATTTGACCCGGTCGATCGGTAGGCTTTATAGCACTGTTTGCCAAGAAATGAAGTCTCTGAAAAGCACACTTCCATCATTCGGGCGCTATACTTCCAAGTGTCACGTAGAGTGAGGGTCTATGGCAGGCTTTACTCACCCTTCGCTATCTCTAGTGGTGTGTGACAAGGGTATCCTTTGCCGCCATCCTCTTCAACTTTGCAATTGAGAACGTCCTGTTGAGATCTCTGGAAGTGTCCCAAAAGCTTGGTGTTGACCTTCATCCTCGCAACTGCGTGTCTGACTTAGATTATGCTGATGACATCGCACTGCTCAGTGACAATTCACAGAGTGCACAGCCCATTTCGAACCGTCTGGCGATTGAAGCGTCTAAGTATAAGATGCGCACTTCCTCTTGAAGCGTAAAGTGCTACTCCAGGATTGGGAGTCGCTTGTCCTCTCAGTTACCATTGAAGGAACACAGTTAGAGCCTGTGGACAAGTTTGTCCACCTCGGAAGCCGTATACCTGCTGATGGCACTATTAGGAAAGAGGCGTCTCATCGTATCGTCAGAGCCAGGTCGACATTTAGCAACCTGAGTCGTTTGTGGCGTCATCGGGACACATCCCTCTCGTTAAAGGGGATGGTCTACACGCATGTGTCCGCGCGTTGCTGTTGTACGGAAGTGAGTTTTGGCCTATTCATGTGGGTGACATGCGTAAGCTTTCGGTATTCGACAGCAAATCTTTGCGACGGATAGCCCGCATGTAGTGACAGCACCGGGTTCGCAACTATGAGGTCCGGTGTCGCGCTTGGGGATACATGAGCCCTTTGCTTAAGTGCCTCATCGTAATGCGCCAATTGAAGTGGCTTGGCCACGTTCTACGTGTATCACGCGAGCGCTTACCACGCCGAGCCTTATTTACTCACACTAGATTGAGTGGGAAGAGAATGCGTGGAGGTCAGCCAACCACTTGGCTGCAATGCATGAAACGGCCGAATTGTCTCGCAATTGTCAGTCCTGTACATCTTCCTGATGGGGCCCATGGACGAGAACTGCAAATTGGTGGACACACCTGGCGATATGGCGCGAAATCGGAATCAATGGAAGGATTGTATATTGAAATGTTTTGAACAATACGGTAGGAGCTATACTATTTAAGATACAAAAAGAGAACAAAATGGCATGTGGAGACGAACAAGAAGCCAAAAAGCCTGAAGATATTTGTTATCTTTTCCTGAATTTATATACATATATACATATAACATATTTGCCCGGTAAATAATTGTGAGCGCAATTTTCTGACAACGTATAGGTACCGTGACCTTGAATTTCTGCTCAGAGGATTAAAGTTTTATGCTAGGTCCCGTCCGCTCCCTCTCGGTATGCTTCGTTTCGCAGACGATTGTGGTTGCGGGGCAGCGAAGAACCAGTTCAAATGACTGAGGTACCGCTGCTGAGGATGGTCGCAGTTGCATGTACCGGTAGTACGATCTTGTGCCGTTGTTTTACTGCACCACTGGTCGCGTGCTAACTGGGAAATTGTTGGGAGAGGAATCGCACCTATAGAGGATCAAATCGACGACAAGTGGATCACATGCCGAAGGTGCAACATACCAACGGCCGAGCCAGCCCATGGGTGTCGCTGGAGTGCCGCGCAGCCGATACAATCGTGGCTCTAACCATTAGGCTATTAAGTTGTGATTCTTCGAAATGCATGATAAATACGAGCGTAGAGTAGTAAGTTTCCGTTTTTAACAAAATAAGCATTACATTTTCCCGAAGTACTCTCTCCAAGCGTCCATGCACTGCCCCGTACGCTTAAATCATTTGGAGGAGCAGCTAGACTATGCCGAAGCGTGCAACCCTTCAAACAGCACAATAAAGGTTACTACTGCAGCTGCTGGAGATTCGTAGTGGATTCCAAGAATCATGCACTTGGCATTTGGGAACACGGAAAGGTCACACGGAGCCAGGCCTGGACTGCAGGGTGGGGGAACATCCTTTTGGATGCGTTCTCCACCCATAAAATCCGCGACGACATGGGACCTGTGTGCAGGTGCGTTGTCCTGGTGCAGCAAGGCCTTTCGTGCTCGAATCCTTGGAGGACGCCTGGCTACAGCTTCCAGCACCTGTGGCGGATGGTTGGTGGTATACCAGTCTCCGGTGACTGTGTATTGCCGTACGAGCGATACAGTAGGCACATGACCGATCTTGGCCACGAACAGAGCCACCATCTGATTGGCCACACTGCACTCACGCCGGCGACCCACCAACAACCGTCCACTGAGCCGATTGTTGCTTGGTCGCCGGATCGAAACTGTACACCCAGGTCTCATCACCACTGATGACCTCCCAAACAGCTTTCGAACGTCTATCATCAAACCTGACAAGCATGGCGCAGTACCAATTCACCAGAGCTGCTTTCCGGTTCTCACTGAGCTGATAGGGTCCCAGCGTGCGCAAACATTTCTGAGGCCGAGGTTCTCATGTACGATGGTCCGGATTGATCCAGATATCTTTTTTTAGCTGTACCAGCAAAGCTTGCACAGGAGCAACAATGTCTGCGGTGGTGGGCACCACAGGACGACCACCACACCGTGTCTCACCATCCATAGAGCACCCGCCACGCTTGAATTCCGTAAACCAGTCAAACACGGTGGGTCTTGAAGGTGCATCATCGTCAAAAGCAGCACACAACCGTTCGACAGACTGGTGCTGTCTTAAAGCACATTTGTAAACGTAGAAAATCATCGCCCCCAGTGACATCGACTGAACTGCATACTTACAGGTAGAGTATAGCGACTCATGTGACTTATGAGCTGTGATGGACTGCTTACATAAGGTTCTGTGAGTTGAAATCACCGAACAATGTTCAGAATGGATTACAGTTCACATTATTCTTGTCAGGTCATCTGTACCTAATCTGTGTACTGCGTATCCGGAAACTCAGTGCGCTGCATTCGTATAAGACATGCGGTTGAAGAAGTACCCCGCGTGTCAAAGTTAGAGAGAAGACGGGAAATGGACGCTCTAAGTACTGCACGGATGCTCAAGGAACGAAGATCTACGAGACTCAGCCCAAGTCAAACTGGGTTGAGTATAGTGTACACAAATGGAAGACCCTACTCCCTACGCACAAACATTCAACAGCATTTTGGGTGATTGTTTCGCAAAAAAACGAAGTAAAATAGCAATGGGAAAAGCAATGCAATTCTGTGGCTAAAACGGCTCACGAGCGGAGTACTGCAATGGGGGTCATTGAAATGCGAAAAATCGCAATGGAGATCAAAATAGTTACACGTGAGGTTACTGCTTAATCCTAACATCTGCGAGATCCAAAATGGTCCGACAAAGACTTGTGTACATAAAAGAGTCACCATGGAGACGCTTCATTTTAATGCCAAGCTGTCGTGCACATGAACTTCGTGGTGTGCAGTCCGCCACATTTGTCAATGGGGTCCCAGTCGAGAGTTTGAGTCGATTGCGTGCTGTGCTATCAACGGACGGAGGCGCGCTGTCCTTGTCAACCGATTTTGCGGCAGGTCTAGCAGGAGTGGAATTCTGGATTGTTGGACGAGGTTTGAGCGTCACACGACGTTTAACCAGTACGGCGTTCGCTGCCTCTACTGCGCGTGCGGAGACGTAAACCAACTCCAATTCGAACGACAGGACAGTTCTACCCCAATCGTTGGCGAACACGCACAAGAAGCCGGAGCTGGAAATAAGGTTGAGAATTGAAATGAGATGGATTAGACAGTAATCGTGCTCGGTCCAACTTCTCATGTGAGTCAAGGATAAGAAGTAAGGCATATCACAAAGATGCTTTCCGATAAGTCACCAGAAAAATACCGTGATAATGTGGAGCTTGAATTTTCTCACTACTACGGATCTGTAAAATGAGGCAAATTGAGTCTTATAAAGCGGATAGTAGGGATGGTAGCCGTGTCAATGCACAAAGGAAATAAGCCGCGGAAGTAACTAAAACCCTAATGGTTTCCGATTCTGGATCTTGGAACAGACAGAGGACACTTGTGCGTACACGAATGGCTTGCACTGCACCACTCACAATTATAGCCACGCATTTTGTTTGCAGTGGGAACTCGACTAAATGAGGACGTGCAGATCGGAGTCACGAATAATTCGGAGCGAACTCAGATTGCTTAGACACAGTGCAAACGTGGGTGCCAGAAGAGCACAAGGATGTCCACTCGTATCATGATGGGGCCACTGCTTGAACCGAGCAACATCGTGAGAAACGTGAATCCCATCTCCTTCAGCGGCAATGACTAGTTTTATGGGGACAACAATGAATGGTAACACCGAATGTGTACACACAGTTTGTCGACACTCGTATCGAATGTCGGTAGACCTGACATATCACTAAGGGAACCAATGTTAAGCTCGCTTTCTTCTGCGGTGCTATCGTTGGAACATTATCTTACACTACCCAGTGGCGTAGCGATTACTTTAGCCGCCTGGGGCGCCCCCAGGCAGCGTGAATACTCAGGGTGAGGTGCATAATAGTTTTTGACAAAATGGATGACCATTTGGGACAATGAGGTAAATGTGGTGCGGATAGCGGCCTCCGGTCGGTTATTTTTGGCTGTGTTGACAAGATCATTTTGTGTTGGATTGCTTGGTTCATTGGAAGTTTCGTGGAAATTTAGATACAACGCAGCTGCATTTCAGAATCTGAAATTTTCGACCAGAAATACTTGTTTTTTCATCGCTTGGTTTCGGCGACCTTACTACCGTCATTTTCTCTAGCAATTGGCCGCCATCTTGTTTTCGGAGTATTCACAATGCAGAAGCAATCAGCTTGTGGTACTTGTTCCAAGATAGTCGAATGCCGTGCAAATGCTCTCACGCGTGTCTTGTGCAAAGTCAAATACCACATTTCGTGTGTTTGATTATCAATTGAGCATTTTCACCGTCTTCGTGAAATCCAACATGATTTCGTTTAAAGTTTATGTGAAAATTGCCGAAAGTAGATACAGCCAGGAAGAGTAAAGCCGACGTGTAGGCTTCATCATTCCGTTGTGAACAGCTCCGTGTGTTTGGCCAAACAACCTAGTCCGAAGAGCTTTCAGGTTCCAGCTCAGTCTTCCTCTTCTACCCGTGCAAACTCACCGCGGCATGAAGTTCAACCATTGTGAGAAGCCCAGTTTCACGCGGTATAAATTGTTTCCCTGTATTGTGTCCAATGAGCACTGATGTCCCAGCAGGTGAAAGTCTGAGTGCCGAAGATCAGTGGAAAGAACAAGGAACGAAATTATGAAAGGATGTTCGGCGCTTAAATTCTGTAAGTCAACAGTTAGCCAAACCACGTGAGGCTGGTGATACACTTCGCCCTGCAAGGTCAACCTCGCCTGACCAGGGGCGTTATAACCTCGTGATCTTCCACGCGCCGGAGTCCAGTTATACATCACCGCAAATGCGCTACGATCACGATGTCGAGTTTTTACAGAGTCTAATTGACGGACGCCTCTGCGCGGGTGCGGATTCGGTAAATGTGAGACAAAGTACCCGTCTTGGAAAGCAAGATGATCAAAAAAATGGCCTATGAGAATCAGTTTTGCGGACGAAGCCAGTTCAGGACTGATCATGTCCCGCCCAAGCAGGCTGAAAGGTTTAAAGATCTATGTTCGTCCAGACCTGGAGCCAGTAGACGGAGAACTGCTCAAGTTTGCCATCATTGAGCTGAAAAGTCGTATTGGTAAGGGTAAAAAAATCGTCGTATCGTAAATTTTTGGGTGGTTTCCAACAATCTGCGAATCAGGATAAACAGGATGCTCACACACCCAGCACACCGGGCGAACCCTGCTGCGGCCCTCTAGTAGCGTTCACAAACGTTTGCAGTGTTGGGAACACGCGCGAGAAGATTGGGTGCCTGGTTACGTCTCAGCGACCAGACGTAGTGGGACTCGCAGACATTATGCAGCATTCAGAGTTATACATCCAGAAACTTGAACACAATGGTTACCCGTGCCTCTGATGCGACAGACTAAGGAATGCGCGCGGTGGTGCCTTGCTTTACATCTGGTATTCCCTGCGCGGGAGATTTGTGAGCACGTACCGAAGTGACGACAATTTGTGTGAGCTACCGTCGTGCTACATCCGACTCCGGCGCGGAGAACTACTTGTGGGCGCAGTTTATCGCAGCTCCTGAGTCGTTTGGATTGGCTGCCACATCTTCGAACCCACATGAGTCAAAACAGTTCCTACTTATGAGCAATTTTAACTGTCCTCGAATACGATGACCTGATGTGCATTTGATGCCTGGACATGGTGAGGTTGAAGCAAAGTTCGTGGATTTACTATTTGAAACTGGTGCATCGCAACACATATGCCAGCCAACACGCATATCAACACGTTCAACCGCGCCCTGTCTCGATCTGATGTTAACGAGCTAGGAACAACAAGTGCGTGACGTTCGGATCCGGGAGCCCCTGGCTACAACCGACCACTCAGTACTCAAAGCTGATATGGAATTACCTTTGCAGTATTCAGGTCCGCTGGAGTGAGCTTACAACTACTGGAAAACGGACCTAGGCGGCCTAGCTCCAGCCGCGAACCAAATGGATTGGTCTCTGTCACAAGATGCACCTGTAGACGACTGTTGGACATTTACAAAAGAGAGATTGACGTCATTGTGTTCCCAATTTGTACTCTTGTAGTGTCGGAAGGTTGGACCGATTAAGCCTAATGGGTTCGACAAGGAGTATGGGAATCTGGCTCGGAGGCGGCGCAGACTGTGAGACAGATTCCTCCTCTCTGGCTCTGACAATGACTACGAAGCGTATAAAAGTCAGCGGAATCTCTGCAACAGCACAAAAAGGAATAAGGGTACACAATTCGAAGAGTAGCTCGCAATCGCCGCGAAGAACGCCCCAAAGAGAATATTTACATAAGTGAAGCGGCGCCTGAAGCCGGCAAGTGATGTGCCAGTGCCGGATGGATGGATAGTCCCTAACCTCCAGCACTGAGCGTGCGTCTACGTTGGCGGTACACTTCGCTTCTGTATTTGCAAATGACCAGGTGTCTGTTCCGAGTATGGCGTGCACTGCTTTTACCGAACGCGATAGTCTGGATTGCGGCGTTTGAGAAGTATATCAACTACTCGCCAGCCTTGACGGCACCAAACTTACCGGACCTGATGGGCTCCACCCACTGATTCTCAAGTCACTTTCGGCTATCATCGCTCCTACAGTGAATGACCTTTTCAACAGGTCACTGTCCGAAGGTTCGTTGCCGATTGACTGGAAATGTCCGGTGATGAAGCCTATTCCGAAAGGCGGCGACCATAGCAAAGTAGATAATTACAGGCCAATTTGTCTGACACCTATTTTGGCAAAGCTTGCTGAGAAAATCGTAAAAAAGGGATAATTCCATTTATTGCAAACAAAAGAGGTCCTGGCGCCCGCATAGCACGGTTCCATGCAACACCGCTCATTCATTACAAACTTGCTTGTGACGAGGCATGAGTGGTTGAAGGGAACAAGCAAGGTGAAGTGTGTCGACGTGATATTCATCCATTTCAGTAAAGCGTTCGACAAGGTCAGCCATGAGGTTCTCCTTCACAAACTCAGGATGTGTGGTGTCGGTGGCTCACTGCACTAGTGGACCTTCGACTTGCTTGTTGAACGAAAGTAGAGGGTACAGGAAGACGACCATCGAACTGACTGGTATCCCTCTACAAGTGGCGTGCCTCAAGGCACTGTGCTGGGGCCCACTCTGTTCCTGATCCACACCAACGATTTACCTCAGTTTCTTTAACCGCCGTGTGCCTTGTTTGGGGACGACATGAAGATTTGGAGAGAAATTGACGCTCCCGACAACTGTGGCGTACTTCAGTGAGACCTCAACCGCCTATCCACATGGTCTGCAGACGTTCATCTGTCGGTCAACCCAGCCAAGTTTGTATTTATAAGCCTGGGAAAGGGTGCTGACGGATGAACCTATACCATTGACGGCCAAGCGCTATATCCCACATTCTTCGTGATGGACCTAGGTGTACTATCGCGCTGCGGTTTGAAATCCGCGGGCAACACGAACAGGCTATATCGTAACGGACTGTGTATGCTTCAGGCGCACAAACGTAGCTTCAGCACAGGTCTGAAGAGTTGCCACTCAGCTCTTTTTCATCATTAGACAAATGCTAGAGTACGATTCGCCCGCCTACTTTCCGATTACCCAGGGCGAGGCACAAAAGCTCGAACGCGTATGAAGACCGGTCCTAGAGACTAGGACTCACCTTGTTTTACCCTCGGGTGCGAGTCAAACTCATTATGACCTACCGTATTCAACATCTCAGCGAGTTCCCCATGCTGAGACCAATGCTGCACTTACGTGAGCCATGCAGCACACGCGGGCACAGATACAAACTTATGTTGCCGGAAGTGAGGCAAGTTCCCCATCCACTGTGATTCGAACGGAGAGTGGTGAATATTTGGAACAGTATGCCTGAACATGCGATAGAGGCCATATCTGTGCAGCAGTAAAAAACGTTAGGTGTATATTTTACCACATTCCGATTCAAAGAACGATTGCACACATTTGTAAGTCGCGCAATACCGTGAGATATTTTAAATGTTCCATGGGAAGGATAACGATATTCACGAGTGACAATTTCTATAACGTTTTTCACCATATTTCGATGGAGTTGTATCGAATTCATTTCTATTGCTCCATACTACAGTATTCATTAAGTTTGTG